GCAGTTCTCTGCTGATGTGCTGTTCTAATCGTTTTTGGATGATCTTCAGTAGAATCTTGCTTGCATGTGAAATCAATGACACTGCTCTGTAGTTTCCACACTCAGTTGGATCACCTTTCTTTTTGTCACATCTTACCCGGGATCAAATACTTAATGGAACAGTTGCAGGAATTCTTACGTCACAAGTGCCTTGGACAAAGCTTTATTTGTGACAAATCCACTCATCTGACTCATCAACTCTACTGAACTCAAGGAGTAGGTGCAGTTTGAACGAGCCCACTGGCCCCACAGCTAGGTTAGCTCAGGAGTCCCCTGGAAGTGCCCGGGCTGGCTCCATGTTGAGGGGCAAGGCCTCCTCTGGGAACCTCACTCCAGCCAAGGGGCTTGCTGGCTTCAGCTGCACCTAATTGGATGTCCATGTCCTGGAGGTGTGTGGGTGGAAGGGCTGCAAGGGGCCTCAGTACCAAAGGGGTCTGGGGTTCCCTAACAAGCTCTCCATGAGCAGCAAGGCTGCCTCCTTCCCCACTCCCCTTGGGGTAACCATGAGGCTTACAAACATGTAATTATCAGGTGCTGACCCAGATGCTGCTCACCCCGATGTGCTGTGCGTGGCTCTTGCAGGGCTTCTGCGGCGGTGCAGCCCAGCCTCACACTAGGTGAGGAGAGACGCACGGCCAGGAGCCTAAAGGGGGCAGATGTGAGATGTGTGTGACATCACTGTCACAGACAAGTTACAGCAGGGCTTGTGCTCAGGTGTCTTAGCCAGAGGTAGGGGTGGTGAGGTAAGCAGTTCTTGATGGGCCAAAGAGGGCCACGTTACTTCCTAGCGCATGTATCACAGCTGGTCTGCAGCGACAAGGCTTCACTCCACCAAAGTATGTCCCTTAGAGGCAAGACTGCTTTGCAACTCTAAGCTCTTAAGACACTCTTATCCCAAGTCTACCTGGTGTGTTCCTTTACTCCTGATTTTAAAGGAAAGACCTCAGATGCCCTGAATCCACCCAACAAGACTGCACACTTGCCAGGAGAGAGAAATGGTGTGGGAATTAACAAGCAACAGTGATCAACTTGGACCTGTTCAGAGAGAAAGAAACCTGGCAAAGACAGTGGAAACAGTGGTTCTCCCCATCAAGTACACCCCCACACACACACCCTCTTGTGGACCCCCCTCAGCCCTTACAAGGCCACTGGACATGCCAAGCAGGCAAGTAAGGTGCTGATGAGGCTGTAGCCATGCTCCGACGGTCTTGGTTGATGCTGGGTGCACAGCTGAGGAGCGTGTCCCAGGGGCTCGTGCCCAGGAGCCACAAACAGCTCATGTAAAGAAACATGACCAGTTTCCACAAAACAATTTTATTGATTTTGAAGAAGAGTAGTACATTCCATTCAGTGCTATTTTTGACTTTGATTACAATTTCTGTGCAACACTACTGTTATATGAAGGCTGAGATGTGGACCTGTGTTTCAAGGCGCAGGACTTACCAGATAATGTAGCATGCAGTCAAATGTGGGGGAAAAAACAACACCCAACAGATCTGACATTCTAAGTTGTTCTTTCCTGTATCAGAGAGGCTCCCTTTGAAGACCCCAAAACAGGGAGCAGGCTCCTTCTCCTGTTAAAAATGTTTTTACTGCACACCTATGTCTCCTAAATCTAAAGTTCCTCCATGGGCACTCCAAATGCAAGCCCCAGCAATGCCTTCAGAACCAGGGCTGTGTGCTCTGAGAACCAGTGAGCAGCATGCAGCTCTAAGGTACCTGTTATCCACCTGCACGCTTGGCTTCCACAAGAACTAGAACCTCCCTGCCAGGGACAAGGGGCCAAGGCCTCTTGCAGCCACAGTGGACTTGCATGGGGAACATGCACAGGCCACAGACAGGACAGATGACCTGGGTGAGAACCATCTTCCTAACGAGCTGTGTGGTGAGCCAATCTCCATGGTCATTGTCATGGTGTAGCCAGGCACTGGGGAAGGACTGACTGGCAGGCAGGAGAGGACTCAAGAAAGGCTGTTTTCTGCCCTTGTGTGTTTCTTGGGAGTGAGCAGCAGGGCTCAGGGCAAGGGACCTGTCCTATCGCAGGTCTGAGATGGGTTTAAAACACCTGCGGTGACAACGTCCGCAGCACTCAGCACAGGGGCCTGCTGCATCCAGGCACCAGCCCTCCACAAAGGCCCTTCAGAGAGCATCTGGCCTCGGAATCTTGGTCCTGAGCAGGCATGAGGCGGTGCAGCTCCCTCTTTTCAAAATGAGGGCCACTCATATGAGCAGACTGCTGTGGGCAGTGGCCATGGTGGTGTGCAGATGTATTCTCAGACAGTCCCACTACCACCCTCTCAAAGGGTTCTGTGCAGACACACCTAAGAGGCTACTGTAGGTGAGGGGAGGTGTGTGTGGACACAGCCACACAAGCACCCTGAACTGCACAGTGACACACACACCACCAGCTGCACAGACATAAACACACACCGGACTGGAGAGACCCCAATGACTACACTGACACACACCCCATGGACTGCAGAGACACAGACACAGACACACACATCAACTGCAGAGACACCCCCCCCCCATCAATTGCAGACACACACACACACCCGCACCATCGACTGCAAAGACAAAACCAGGACAAATGTGTCACAGCACAGCGAGCCCCACACACAAAGCTAGAACACAAGGCAGATGAAGATCACTTGGCTGGGGTCAAGTCATTAAAGGGAAGTATGTGAAATATTGTATGTCAAATATGTTACCAGGAAAAGAAAAATAAAAGCATGTTAACTTTAACAGGTTTACAGACAAAAGAAATGCCTTTATGTTAAATAGCCAAAACTTTAGTGATTATTACTTTTCTAAAGCCTTTCTTCCCACTTCAAAAGAAGCCACATTTGGCCCTTACTGTGTAGAAACCACCAAGTAATGGCCCATCCTTCCAGACCATGTGGAAGCTTCAAGGGATGCTCAGGTGACCAGGGGGACCAGTGCATTGAGAAGTGGGTGAGGATATCCGTGAGTGGTTCACCCACCCTTTTCTCCAAGTAGTGGTGGCAGGACAGAGTCCAGGTTGACAGTCGACCCCTAACCTGCTTGGCCCATACAGGGCTATCAGATGACACAGGGCATGTCCCCTTGTGGGGGTAGAGCTGCACTTGGATAAGGAAACTCTGTCTGCTCCCGAACGTGGGAGCAGTGCCTGTGCCTGGTGCACTGCATGGCCAGGTGTGCTGCGTGGCCAGATGCCCTCATGGGGCGACACCTGGGACTGACCGAAGGTTCTGGGCACACAGGTAGAAAAGCTTCTTGCTCTTCACCATCAGAAAACAGGGTGCTTCCTTCCAATGGCCACTGATCAAGCCAGCCAGCAGCTGACCACCAGTGAGGAGACTTTTTTAAATTTTAAAAAGTTTTAGAGATGACATGTTAAAGCACTCTGGTTTTTAAACATACATGGCATTAAAACAATGAATCATGTCAGTTAATATTTACTCTTGGAATTATGGCTAGTAAGGCCTCTGAGGGCACAATCCCATACCACCAGTGTTTAAGAAGCAAGCTTCAGTCGAAGCCTTGTGCCAGGAGACTCTGGTTCTGCACAGGGATCTCTCTGGTATGTGTGCAGGGAGGGGCCCGTCCCTGCCAAGGTTGTGCGAGCATGCAGGTCCAAGTGCTACAAGGCCAGAGAGGCCCACCAGCCAAGGACTGGCACCTGGGGAAAAGGACACTGAGGGGCTCCGGATCACACCATGACTGCCTCAGAGCTTAGGGTGTCGGCCACACTTGTAGAAGAAAGTACTTTAAGAGTTTCAAAGTGTTAGAAAGTTCACTGTAGGTTCTGTCTGGGCAGCTTTGGCAGCCCCTGTTAAGTCACAGGGGGTCCACCCCACAGAGATGAGGGGCATGCACTTCACCTTCTCAACTCACCACACAGTCTGTGTCCCCAGATCACTTCAAGGCCTTTGAAAGGACTTGAAGTGGTTTTCTTAACGTTAATTTATAAGCAATCTTTCAAAATGGGCAGACAGAATGCCAATTTGCCAAAGAAAGAGATGTTACGTGAACAATTTTAAGGTAATTATTTCTAGTGCTAGTAACTACTGCTTTCTAAGTGTCTCCTGGAAGTCCCAGTGCCGGTTAATGAGGTGAGCCTTGGAGGTAAGGAATCACTCCAGACACTGGCTCCCACTGAATTGGACGAGACTGGCGATAAGGACACCCCACCGAGCCTGTGCAGAAGGTTCCCACACAGCCTTACTGCTGTATATACCCCACTGAAATGGAGACTTGTCCCACATATTAAGGACCATGTATGCTAAGGATGAGGGTGCCTCCAGGGCCCACTTCTGCGCCTACAAGGATAGCTGGGTGTGCGGGCCTGTCTCCCTGGGGCGCCTGGTTATCAGTGTACCTAGTCATCACCTACAGAGCCAGAGCTTACCTGGTCCCTCAAAGGGCAACAGTTTGGATGGGACAGGGTCCTTCGCGCTCAGTGGGATCAGGTAGAGGTCCTTGATGTGCCTGTTGTTATTAGCGACAACCCCAAAACGGCCTCGGCTGCTAAAATACGAGTACAGAGAGATGTAGGCCACCTCCTCCTCCTCAGTAGCAGGATGGAAACGGATCAGACAGAGCTCCTGTGATACAAACACACAGAGGACACACTGATGGGACTGCTGCACAAGAGCTCCCGCCCAAACCTCCAAAGCAGTGTCCAGTCGCATACTTCAAGTGGGCCCTGGCCTCATGCTCCTCAGACTCTCAGCGCCTACAGCTTGTGAGGCTATCATGGGACAGCCCATGAGGAGAGTGAGCCAGCACATGTTGGCACAGTGTGTGCTCAGCCTAGTGCCTGCTTTCCAGCATCCATGATGCAAACTTCTAAGTGTGGGACCAAATGAGCTCAATGTCCAAGGGAAACTGCATGTGAAGACAGCACACAGTAGCTCTGCCTCAGGGGCCACAAAAGACCCCAGGCCCAGGAGGTTGACTCCTGAAGACAAGTCCTCACTCCCTACTTCCTTTTTTTCAGTCCTACCACCAGAACATGCATCTCCTAGTCTGATCTAAGAAGAGACATCACTTGCTCCTAACTCTCCAACTACAGGTACCAGCCTCCTCCACTAAACATTTAAGCAGTCACCTGGGATAGCCAGTAAACTACAGACCGATACTTTAAATATTCAAGAGACATATTCAGTGAAAGCTCTCCTTCACTAAAGATGGCATAATGAGCAAATACCTTAGAAACAGAAGATTTGAGTTTGCCAACATAATCCCAAACTGTCTTCGGTGAGATCCTTCCCCCAATGTGAATGGTATCTGGCAGATCCTAGAGAGAGAGAAGGCATCCTGGGTCAAGAACTGGCAGAAGAACCGTGTTTACAAAGAAACATATAGAGTCATTGAGTCACCAGAGATTCAAGACTTGAGAAAAGCACTGACACAGCAGAGCATGACAGTACTGTGCTCAGCACAGGCTGGGTGACTCTGACTGACACAAAGGATTACACTTAGAGACCACTGATGAGAAACTATGTGCTGTCTCTCAGCAGTAATTCAGATAGGACAGTGACCACCTTGCTTAGCTCACAACCACTGTTGTTCCTGTGGATCACAGCAAGGAGAAGTTCAGCTCGTGGGTCACCATGCTGAACGTGTGGAAGGCTGGGCACACAGGACTCTGGTGTCACGCCTCCTGTATGAGGTGCACACATGCACACCCCCACACCCCCACAGGGATCTAACCTCGCTGAGGTAATCAAAGCACCCAGATACGGGATACGCCTTTGTGACGAATTTTGCCACGCTCTGCATGTTGATGAAGCCTTTCCAGATGGGG